AAACATGCAATTGAATTCTAAAACCTGGGAAGTGAAAAAAATGCCAAAACTAATTGTTGTTGCTGCCGCCCAGAAAAGGATTTGTGCTAAAATTAGACTAATGAGCTAAAAAAAGACTAATGAGCTAAAAAAAAAAACACGATTACATTGAAAGAGGAAAAACAAAATTTGCAATAATAAAAAAAAACAAACAATTACTAAGAAATAAAAAAAAATAAATTGCAACGTAAACCAATTCCCTGGCAACGACGACAAAAATTGATGGACAATTTTAATATATATGTCCTCGCAAGTGCACAAGTCACTATAGTAATAATATGCAAAGCAAAGGTCGAACCCACAGAAAATTGTACAATGCAATTTAATAACTTGAAATTAATTAACTCAATAATTTAAAGTACTAAAACCAATTGCCAATAATAAGAACGCAAAATAATTTAAATTGAAGTTAAACAAATGAATAAGTGAATCAAAACTCAAGAAAGTGAACAAGTAATCTAAATAATCAGAATTGAAAAAAAGGTCTAGGGACATGAACGCAATATCACTATTGATTTTGCACTTGAGTCTAAAGCTACCAATAAGAAATATCAACCCTTAAAGTTGAATTAAATAAAACTTAGCAAATTAATAGCAAATAAAATAAAGCGTAATGGCAATTTGACACTAAGGAGGGTGTATTCAATGAAGACTTTTAAAGAGTTTCAAAGACTTTTGTAGAGATTTTGTAGACTTTCCTAGAATCTTTTAAACTTTTATCAATTTTGTAAGAGTCTTTAAAAATCCATAAGACAAACATTTATAGACTTTTAAAAACTTTTTCGTATTAAAAAGTCTACAAAAGTCATTAAAATTCTAAATTGAATACACCCTTACAAACATTTCATAACTTCTACTAATACATTATATATAATTTTTGTACAAAAATATATTTATATAAATCATAAATAAATTAATGCATTGCAAAAAATAAAAAATAAATATTGATTGTCACAGAAAATGGATTATATTATACATAAAGAAAATAGATTAATCAATTAATATAATCTATTTTCACTAAATAACTTTATTTTTACCTTTACTCCTTTCTTGATCCACCATTACTATAAAATAAATAAGAACCTCAAAAAATTCAACTTAACACAAATACAAATATTAATAATTAATGAACATATAATAACATAAAATTATATATATTAATTATATAAAAAAAATTGTAAAAATTTGAGTATATTAATTCTATTTATTACAACAAAAATTATAGAATATTTATGCAGCAAGCAAATTTGCTGCGAACAGTAGCAAGAAATTCTTGCTGCTGTTCGCAGCAAACACAAAATTACATAAATATAAAGAAAAAAAATTTACAACGTATAATATTATGAAAGTTTGAACGTACTGAAAATTGATGAAAAATTTGTGTGGTTTAGATAGAGGAAAAAAAGTCTGTAGAGAAAATTGAAAAGTTTAGGGTTGGAGGGTCGTATTTCATCTATTTATATTAATGAAGAAAAAGTCTACAGAAGTCCTATTCTGATAGAGTCTATGAAAGTTGATAAATATTTGAATACCAGTAGACTTTTAAAGACTATATAAAAGTCTGAAACGAATACCAGTGTACTTTTAAAGACTTCTGAAAAGTCTGAATCGAATACCGGTAGACTTTTAAAGAGTCTTTAAAAGTCTAAATTGAATACCATCAAACTTTGAAAGTCGTTAAAAGTCATTAAAACTGTTTAAAAGTCTGGATTGAATACACCCCCTAAATCAATTAGCAGATTTAATAAAACTTGGGAAAACGACCATTAAAAGCACTTCGAATAAAACTAAGCATTCTTGGACTTATTGTCCACAAAGCAATTCATTTTACAAAATAGGAATTGAAGAATAATAACAAGCATTGCAAATTGAAGAAAAAGAGAAATAACACCAGGAAGAGCACTGTTGTGAAGAAGCTGCCACGCTGCCCAAATGGAATTGCCGCCGAACAAGAGCTTGTCGACGACCGCAGTTGCCGGAGCCGATCCGCTCCTTTAAGAATTATCCGGTCAGAAGATGTCCCCCTCTCTCAATTGTCATAACTCTATTTAAATTACTATAGCCCCACTGCTCCACCTCAAATTCGCCTACAAAATAGCACAATCACGAACGGCTGCAATAGAACAGCTCTCCTTCCAACATATTTGCAACATTTCTTTCCTTTAATTCCATGAAGCCATTTGTTAAATTCCTGCTGACCGTATGAAAGAGAGATAGAGAAACTAATGCTTATTCACATCTATAATCTATAATTGAAGATAAAACAAATAAAAAGCTTAAGCTTTATTAATAAACTAATTACAAAAATTAATAATAAAAGTAGGTACAAAATTAATTAAGTAGTGCTTATTAATTCTAAAAAAGTTCATTTAAATTAATACAAAATAATGCTCATCAAAATTAGACAAATACTCTGAGCAAAATTCTATAGCTTCTTCAGAAATATAACACTTGGCTATACAACCTTCAGGTCGATTGCGATTTTGCACATAACCTTTCAAGATTTTCATATATCTTTCAAATGGGTACATCACTGCGGGAAATCAGCGTTTTTCCGACCTCATTTCCGACCACCTAAAAAATTGGTTGCAAAAAGTGACTTTTTCCATTTTTTCGTCATTTTTTCGACGAGGGGTTACAGTGGTCGGAAGTTGTCGGAATTCCCGACCACATTTTCTAAGTGGTCGGAAATTCCGACCAGATTTCCTAAGTGGTCGGACTTTTCACAAAATCTAATTTCTAAATTAGTTATTTTCCGACCACCAAGTAAACGTGGTCGGAAAGTCTTTTTCTTTTAATTTTTTTTTTGTTATTTATTTAATTTTTGAAAGCTTTTATTTTTGTTATTAGTATGGTTTAATGGTATGAACGCCACATGATATATCTTTTTATTATTGATTATTTCACTCATATTTTTTTTAAAAAAATTCCAAATTCACTGGCCACAGCAAAGATAACTCCTTGACTGTGTTGCTGGTTACCTTTAGCGAACCCACAAATTCTTTCATCGAACCAGGACATAAAGGATCATCTACCTTGAGTCTTTTGTAACATGCCTGGTAACACGGCTTCCCAAACCACTCTAGCTTCCCGTCAGGTGCGAAGAATGTGCTCAACAGATTCCTCTTCGTTGCCACATGCCTCGCAGCTACTGCACTAGGTGAACTCACACTTCTTTCTATTTATATTTGACATTATTCGATCCTGCCTAGCCAACTAGAGAAAGGTGTGGATTCTACTTAGCACTTTTAGCTTCGAAATGTTGCTCCATGTTTTCGAATCCACCCCCTCTGCTATGTTTGTGATCATCCCGTAGGCTGAGCTCACTGTGAACGATCCTACGTTTCCTCTACCCCAGCTAATGGCATCCTCTTGACTATTGTCAGTTAGTATCACGATAGCAATAAGATTCAGCTAGTCTTGTGGTTAGTATCACCATAGCGATAACGATTTTTAAAAGTCGTTGTCTATGTGCATTTTTTTCTTTTGTTAAGACAACGATTTTATTTAACCGTTGTCATCAAGGACGGGCGGAGCCACCCCTTGGGGTAGGGAGGCCCTGGCCCCCCACCCCACCTCCCATTTTTAGTAAATATATAAGTATATATTATTATAATATGGATAAATTACACTTTTGGCCCCCCTCCTAATTTTTTTTTAAAAATAATCTATTATGTATATATTAAATGAACTCGAAAGCTACACTTTTCGTCCCTAAGTTATGGAATAATTGTAAAATTTTTCCATAAGTGTTGATCGTGTTCACATTTCGTCTCTAAGATATAATTGACGTTGCAAATTTCGTCCTTTTAATAACTGGTTGTGGTCACTCTTTCTTGTGGAACTACCAAGAGATGGTCATTCCTGTGGAACTACCAATTTTCTCTTGAACAAAGTCTTTCTCCTAAACATATATAAACATATATTAATTATTATTATTATTATTATTATTATTATTATTATTATTATTATTATTATTATTATTATTATTATATAATGATTAGTTAATAAGGGCAAAGTTGGAATAATTCAAGGTAATATAAGATTACTTAAAAAAATGAGGGTAATTACATTACCGCCACATCAGCTTTCAGATAATATAGCATTACCATGTAATCTTATAACTTGAACCAAACAAGGTAATAGAACATTACCAGACTCAGATTACCTAGGTAATCTAAGATGATCTGAACCAAACGCCCCCTTAAATAATTGTATTCTACTATATACTTAGACAATTATATTCTAAAACACAAATAAAATTATCTCTCTCTCAAATAAAAAAACACAATTAATTGACTTTAATTTTGACTTCCCTCTCTTTACCCACCTAAAAAAATTATCTCCCTCTCAAATAAAAAAGCTTTTAAGTTTCCCGCTTAAACAAAAGCTAAACACATGGTTCTTCTCATCGTCTCCGCCACTAGGGTTTTATTTCAGACAAAAGCTTTTAAGTTTCCCTCTCCTCGCTCCAGGGATGACCCTCCACCCCTACCATTCTTGTTCTTCTACTCTTTCAGATCTATAGTTTTCTTTTTGCAATCCTTTTTTTTTTCTACAGATGTTCTCACCGGCGACGACCATTTGTGAGGCGAGAGCAGCGGCGGTGAGTTTTGGCTTCGGCTTTGACACAAGTGGCGAGGGCTTCAATAGTAGGTCAATCATTCTTTTTTCATACATATTATGGTTTTTTTTCCAGAGTTGAACATAATTGGTGGTCGGAAATACCGTGTTTTCCAGTAGTGCATCCATCTATACCACACTGGTCCACACAATTTGACCTCTCTCACAAAATGAACAGTTAAGTGAACCATTATATCAAAAAAATGAAGGAGGAAAGTACTTTTCCAGCAAACACAGCGTTGTCACAATCTCATCTTGTATCGCATCTAACTTTGAGGCATCTATCACTTTGCTACATATGACATTAAAGAAAAAGCACAACTGAATGATAGCATACCTTACATGTTTGTCAACACACCTCGAATAGCAACTGGAAGCAACTGTTGCATGAAAGTGTGACAATCGTGAGATTTAAGACCAACAAGTTTCAACTCCTTCACATTGACAAGGTTTCTCACATTAGATGAATAGCCTGTTGGGACTTTCATATGTAACAAAGAGTTACAAACTTTCTTTTTCTCGTCTTTGCTTAGTGTATAGCAAGCAGGTGGCAAAAACGTTATCTTCTCCCCTTGTTTTAGTGCCAACTCCATTCTCATATTCATTTCCACAAGGTCTAGTCTAGCAGCTACCCCATCTTTGATTTTTCCTAGGATGTCAAGTAATGTGCCAATAATACTTTCACACATATTTTTCTCAATGTGCATGACATCATGAACATGCCGAACATGCCGAACATGCAAATGCTTCCAATACTCAAGCTCAAAGAAAATTGATTTCTTTTTCCAACATGATTCACTATTTTTTCTTTTAGCATTTAGCTTGCCCCTCTTTTTTCCCCAACAACAATTGATCCCCTCAACCGTTTTCAGAACATCATGGTCACTCAATGGTTTTGGTGCTAAGTCGAATTCTTGCTTACCATCAAATGCCTTCTTTTGCCTTCGATAAGGATGAGTTTTACATAAAAATCTTCTATGTCCTGTGAATGTCATTTTCTTACTATGCTTCAACCTCTTGGCATATGTATTCTCACCACAGATAGGACATGCATGATATCCTTTGACAGTGCAACCTGATAAGTTCCCATATGCTGGGAAATCATTGATCGTCCATAGTAAAATAGCTTTAAGGACGAATTTTTCTTGTCGGTATGCATCATATGCTTCTATACCTTCTTCCCACAACACTTTTAAATCGTCAATCAAAGGTGCCAAATAAACATCAATGTCATCCCCGGGTTGTTTAGGACCAGAAATCAACAAATTGAGCATCATGAATTTTCGCTTCATACACATCCAAGGAGGAAGATTGTATGTAATCATGATGACTGGCCAACAACTATATGTAGAATTCATTACACTATGGGGATTTATCCCGTCTACAGATAAAGCCAATCTAAGATTTCTTGGCTCATCAGCAAAATCTGGACACATATCATCTACTGTTCTCCTACACGATGCATCAGCTGGATGACGCAAGTAACCATCACAAACTTTATTATCAATATGCCAAGTTAACTCCTTAGATATATCCTTGTTCCGAAACATTCTTTGAAATCTTGGTATAGGTGGAAAGTACCATAACACCTTTGCAGGAACTCCTATGGATATCTTAGAATTCTTGCCTATCTTCCACCTTGAAGTTCCACAAGTAGGGCAATTAGTACAATTTGCATTCTCCTTCTGATATAAGATACAGTCATTGGGACACGCATGTATTTTCTCATAGTCCATTCCCAATGCAACCAAGCTTCTCTTTGCCTCATATAAAGAAGAAGGCAATACGTTGTAAGTTGGAAGCATTTTTGCAAACAAATCTAGAAGGTCCGTAAAACTTGCATCGCTCCAACTGTATTTTGCCTTCAAGTTATATAAATTCACTACCGGTGACAGTTTTGTAAACGTAGTACATCCAGCGTATAGCCGTTTCTCTGCATCTTCAAGTAATTTACTAAATTTGTTGGGATCCTCAACGTATTCATCATAAGCAGCATTTACCATACCTATAGGGTTTTCATCAACAAGCTTATGCTCCTCTCCCCTAAGATGATCAGTATCATCTATTGAGTTGTTTAACGTAGCCTTCTCCCCGTTCCATATCCATGACACATATGTTCCATCCATTCCATTACAGTACAAGTGTGCCCTTATAGTATCAAGAGGTTGCTTCCTTAGGTTGCCACATATTGCACATGGGTATGATATTGAATTAGGATCAACGACATTTTTTTTAGCAAATTGTAAAAAAGATTCTACTCCAACCTCATATTCATAACATAATCTATCTTTTGACATCCATTCTTTGTCCATTGTTTATTTATACACTAATGCTACAAAACAGTCAAGTAACAAGAAAAATAATGTATATATATATATATATATATATATATATATATATATATATATATATATATTCAGGTCACAGAATTTGGCTCTTTCTTTGTTATTCATGCATGAATATTTGCACAAAATTTTGGAAAAACAAGTGCTTTCTTGTTCACATACGAAGTCTACACCTAGATGGAAAAACAAAATTCACTTCATAGCTTAAGTTGATACTGCAGTTGCGATTATAGAGTGGTTCATCAAGCATACACAGAGATTGAATACAAATAAACAACTCAAATACAATGCCAAAACAGCTTGCTTAATAATCTTCCATGGGACCAATGTGTATAAAGCCTACTGAACCAAATATGATTTTACAGAACCACAATGGTAACTTGCAGCAGATTTATTTAACTTTTGTTAGTTTGTAACAAATAATTTTTTTTTAAAAAAAATAGAAACAAAAAGTAGATTTTAAATAGACAACCATACAAGATTAAAACAATTTGACACAGATGCAAGGCAGCTAAGAACAGGAAACTTACAAAGCGGAAGAAGACTACCATTGTTAAAGTACCTCCAAGGAGAATATGCAGACCATTTCTATATATAGCATGTTTCATTTATTAATTATTCATTACAAGAACTCTGATTCTGAAATAATGATACTGTGGGGCTATCTTGATTTTAAAGAATCAGATATCACAATTATACTCTAAAAAATAATCTATTGATGGACAAAAGTCACAAAACTGAAAATAATATGTTGTCCTAATAATTTATTATATTTATTTCCTAATACATGGTTAATGGAAAACCACATATCTTAGAATTGAAAACAGAAAATAAAGCCATGCAATAAACTATTTATACACTGCCTCATCCAACCCCGCACAAGTATGGATAACGGGTGGACTTTTGCAAATAAATTTAAGTGGAAAGGGATGAAGGGAGTGAAGCTCAGAAGTACTCACAAGTTCTGCAACTTGTTATTCACATTAAAAGTATATTATGTATGCTCTTTGCATCACTTCAACAATGAAAGCAACAATCAGAACAAGTTCACATATACAGAAATAACCACTTCGTCCTTCTTGCATATATGGTGTCAAAATTAATCTGGGGTTTAAGAGCATTCACATCTAATAATCCAATAATTAATCTAGGGTTTAAGAACATTCACAACCTAACAATCCAATAATTAATCTAGGGAATAAGAACATTCACAACCTAATAATCCAACAATTAATCAACGGTGGAAGAGTAGGGATGAGGCGATGGTAGTAGAGGAGGGAAGAGGTGTAGGTTGAGACGGCAGGTGGGAGCGACGGTGAGGGTGAGACGGTGACGCAGGTGGGAGCGACGGTGAGGGTGAGACGGCGGCACAGGTGGGAGAGACGGTGAGGGTGAGATGGGAGCGATTGCAAAGTCGGCGCAGGTTCTGCTGACGGCGACGGGTTGGGCTCAGCGACGGCGACGAAGGCTTCGGCGCTGGTTCTGCTGAGTGCAAAGTCGACGGCGATGGTGAAAATTTTGTGTTTATTGCTAAGTGTTTGAGGTGCGACGTTCTGCTGAGAGGGAAATTTTGTTTGAGGCGCGAAGAAAATTTTGTTTGAGGCTTCAATTCTGCTGAGAGGGAACTTGAACTTTGTTTGAGAGAGATACTTTTTGCTAAGTGTTTAAAAGATGGAAGTCAAAAATTAAATTATTTTGTAGAAAAAAAAGTGTTAAATTGACTCCCTAAGTCGATTAGATAGTGTAATTGGGTCCCCAAAATAAAACCTTTCTAATGGATGAAAATTTCACAACAGGAGAGAAAATTTCACAACAGGAGAGAAAATTTCATCAAAATCAATACCTTTCTTCTGGCGAAAACCTTTCACCACCAGTCGAGCTTTTAATCGTGGAACTGAAGTGCCATCTTCATGTTTCAATCTGTAGACCAACCTGTTTTTCAAAGTTTTCTTGTTCTTTGGTGCCCTTACCAACTCAAAGGTATCATTTGCATATAGGGAGTTCATCTCATCCTGCACAGCCTCAAGCCATTGTCTCTTTTGCTCTGTAACACCCCCGATTTTCATGCCAATTTAAAGCTTAAACATGCAAGGCAAACTAACCAATATAACATAAACATAAACATAGCGGAAGTCTAAACATGAACCGAGAAAACCAAGGAGTGTTATGCCACGTCCACACCAACGTGAACGCACAGGCAAAAACCGAAATCATCAATCTAATATGTCAACATCATAGGCACACAGACCCAAAACACAATCTAAACTGTTCAGGGAGTCTAATCTATCCAAGTCTAACGCTCTCGCCACCTACTCGGGACCTGTAAAGCACATAAAGAAATGGGACGACGCCCGGTCAGCTAATAATGCTGGTAACCCATCAATACGCGTTCAATAACATATATAGATAGATAGTTTAATACCAAATCATTTTCGAAACGGAATATAGTATATATCAGTTCAAAACCATAGAGAGAGAAGTCAACGGTAAAGACTCTATTCCACTCTCAAAAGACAAGGGATCACATCCCAAAAACAACGAGACAAGAACACAACAAAACAACTCGACACCGCACGTGATATAATCCATTGATCACATAGTAGAAAACATATAGGCAAGACAACAACAATAACAAGTACAACTCGAGGCGTACTCTACTGATCACAAAGTAGAATACCACTCGACATGCTCAACAGAAAAAGATAGACAGTCACACATTGGCAACACATGCCATCGTGACACTACATGTCACATGTTCCAACCGTATGCCATATTCCAACCTTATGCCTACCCCCGGCCTTATTACAGTTCCAACCATTACCTCCGAGAACCCCTGTACTTCTGAGTCCAACCTTATGCCTCCGGGAACCGTCGTTCCCCCGCCAACCACCGCCAACATTTCCGCCAACAAGTGGTACACGAGGGTGCCGTTCATTTCAATCACACAACCGCTAACAAGTGAGCCTGAAGCCCATAAAACAACTCCATAATATCATTTCGAGGCCACCACGAGGACCACATCTGTACCTTGGTGATTAATGTCTCATACCATTAATCGTGCAATCCAGGTACAGCCAACACACACATCAACATAGGAATCAATCAATGGATCACAACAAAGATATGAAACCATACTCAATCAAGGAAAGGATCACAATCCGACACCAATGATGATCAACACAAGTTATCATCCACAATAGGAAAGAACAAACCACACAGGCTAGCATTTCAACATCAAACTAGCATGCTTATCAAACGGGTAAACCAAACATAGTTCCGAAGAACATACAAGACTCATCATGGTTCAACGAATCACAAGGTTGAACACTTAGCACGATTCAAGACACCAAATCCTACATGGATTCCTACCAATACGTTCTAGACATACGAAACATCAAGAAGGCACTCAAATAGCCCAACAAAACAACATCGTGAAGTCAAAACATCAATTACCGAGTCAAATGAATCACGGGGAACAAATCCCCAAACAACACCAACATTGTACCCGCGGGTGGGGCCACGGGTGGACCCCCACCCGTGGTTCCGCCCGCGGGAACCTTTGCCCAAACCATCTTGTACCCCGCGGGTGGGGCGGCGGGTAGGCCACTGCCCGCTGTTCCGCCCGCGGGTACACCTCTGTACCAAAATTAATCCCTTCAGGGATTTTCTACACCAAGTCCAAAACACCCAAAATCTCACAAAATACAACAATATGACTTCAATCAAGGAAATAGCCAAGCAATGACATACAAGAACCCTAATAACAAGCTCTAGATATGCATTCTCACAAGACAATGCATCAAATCTCACATTTCATAGCAAAAATCACAAGTAGAAGTCAAGGAATCATCATATAGGTAAGTAAAATAGATTTTGTAAAGCATGAGTTATCTCTTGTAGTCTACAACTTCACTTATCACACCCTTTAAAGCTTCTAACAAGGCTCTCCTTCAACTCCAACTTCAAGAACACACCAAAAGACAACAAAGATTCTATCGTTTAGAAAAGACACTTTAAAAGGTATTAAAAACACTAAAGGACCAAAGATCTTACCCTCCTATATGCCCAAGGACAAGAAAGTTTGAATCTTGGAATGTCCAAACTTGGCTTGAAGAAGAAGCTAGCTAAATTCTAGAGAGAAGGAGGAGTTTTTCTTTTTAGGGTGTTAGGAAAAGAATGAGAGATGACTCTAGGTTAGCTTGGAATACAATCATAAGGTGAAAAGTCTTCATTACCCTTACTAAGATGGAAAAGTGTAAGGAGACAAGGGAACAATTCACAAAGCTTAGAGTATAACTCATTGACTTGGGTTGACTAGTCAATTTCTAGTCCCCGACTATTGAATTTTTAGGATTTTAGGAATTAAACTATCAATTAAACTAGGACTAATTACTTAACTAATCCTTAAATGGAATTTGGATTTACAGGGTGTCACATCCTCTCCCCCTTAAAAGAAGATTCGTCCCCGAAGCTTGGGTACGACGAATTCAAACAAAACGGCAACACAAAACAATCAATGTGACAAGAGAATCAAGAACATCTTTTTGACCAAAACTTCAAGAATGCAAGAGGATATCAAATGGTCAAGAAATCATAACATTGCAAAGTTGAAAGAAATAATCAACGGAGTTCTTTGAGCATAACAAACACTAAGGTCAAACACAACAACCAACCAAAGACCTTTTAAACCACACAAAGGTCCTAAAAAAACTAGATCCTAGTAAAACAACCCACAAAACTAACTACTCAGCACGACTAACAAACAAGGAAGATCACACAAG